TTGAAGTGTGTGTGTGTGTGTGTGTGTGTGTGTGTACAACATACCTGGGTGTTTCATAGATATATTACTACATGGATATTTTATACTGTTTTTCATCCTATGGGTTAAGGCTGTTTATTGTGACAGTGTCATGGAGCTGCTGTTAACAACTTGGCTAATTGTCTTTACTGCTAGTCAACATGAATATTTCACAGAAAGCTGTTCATTCACTCTTTCAGAAATGTCCTCAGTGAGTCCAGGTAAAGTATGCCTCTAAGGTTCTATCATTCCCCATTTAACTAATCAGGCATACGAGTCAGAGAGAAATCATGAAATGTCAGTAAGAGTGAGTGACCTTGGCCTGACCTCAATTCTGACTCCATTTCTGTGGTTTTTTAAAATCTATTGTTCAAAAGTCAAATGACAGCTGGCCAATCCAATCACTTGCAGCTCTTCCATGCATGTAACAATGTAACTACAGCATCAATCAGTTTTGAATTAGTAGGTAACTTGCCAACTGTATAAAATCCACATCTGTTACTTTTCCATCTGGTGACATGGACATAAGTTTAGGTAAATACATCAAATGTCTGGGGGATTGTCATCTATGCTTGTCTTCAGCTTATCATTCTTTCTCTCCTTCAGACATAACAACCCCTTGCAGTCACACTATACTTTCCCTGTAATCTTCTCCATACTCTAGGTATTAGTCCTGTGACCCATGCCTGGCCAAAGTGACCGATAGAAAGATCAGGAGCAAAGCCCAAGCCGGGACAAACTGAAGCTTTCTCTGGAGCTTATCTTGAGTCTGAGACGTAGGCTGAGCCGGCTATTTGAAGCCAGTTTCCAATCAAAGGCAGGCACAGAACAAATGCCTCATGGGACCTGAGGATGCAAGAGAAAGAAAAGAGTAGGACAAGCACCCAGGGAGCATGAAGAAGCATGGCAAGCCCAGATCACGATCACTCAGTCCAACAGTCCCGCCAAGATCCAGGCAGCAGGTGCCTTGAGAACTTAGGTCATGGTCCACGCAACTGTGGACTCCTTCTCATTAACTCATTGTTGTTTGGTTGGTGTATTTAATGCTGTCGTTTTATATTTAGTTTGAGTTATTTTGTCCCAATAAGTCAGAATTATATTATACAATTACAAAACATCAGATCTCTACCTGACAGGAAACAAGGATAAACATGGTTGTCCAATACTGTTTTGGGGGGTGTGTTCTATATGTAAACAGTTTCCCAAGGAAAAGAGCCAATATGCCTGCATACAGCAGAGAAGTGTGACACAAAGCACCAGACTGGTTCTGGCAAACACAAGGATGAGCCAATTTGAAAAAGCTCACAGCTTTAATCCCCATTGCTTTCGAGTTTTGTTTCGATATCACCCTTTTATGTGTATAGCTGCATATAAAATTTGGACATTTGAGGAATGCCAACACCAAGAACACATATACATACCTTCCTGATTATGATAATGACATTCATGCCCAAAGAAATGCCTTTTGTACCTCTTATCTTCAAGGTCTACTGAAACAGAAAAGTGGCAAAAGCATCAGAAGGAAGACTGTAAATTTGGATGAAATCAGAACAAATTTAGGATAGATACGATGCATTAATTCCTTAAACATATGCTTTTGAGTTGGACAGCTATAGTCTGGTGTCCCTACATTGCCATGTGTCAAATGTGCAAGTTAGTTAATTGCTCTGGTTGTTCATTTCATTTGAAATGGGAAAGAGATTACAGAAAGACAGATGGAAGTTTCTGCCCCACCCAGTCCCACAGCCATTTAGTCCCAAATAAACACACAGAGGCTCATATTAATTATAAACAGTTTGGCTGAAGGATCAGGCTTTGTATCGGCTATCTCTCAGTTATTAACCCATCTATTAATCTGGATATTTTCATGTGGTCTTGGCTTAACATTGACATCCAGATCTCTTTCTTTCTTGACAGCTACATGGCATCTCTTCAGGGGAAGTCATTCTGTATACTGTGAAAATATGTTTCTCTTATTGGCTGATAAATAATGTTTCAGCCTATGGACAGGAAGAAATTAGCCAGAAAAGAAGTATATATAGGGCTTCCAGACTAGGAGAATTCTGGGAAGGGGAACACAGAAGGTGAGTTGTTTTGGAGACACAATGCAGCTTTTGAGAAAGCAAGAGGCACAAACCAAGACCATGTGGAGACACACACATTAATAGAAATGGACTAATAATTCAGAGAGAGATAACCAATGAGAAGCCTGAGCCATAGACCAAACAGTTTATAATTAATATAAGAATTTGTGTGCTTATTTGGAACTAAATGGCTGTGGGATTGAGCAGAACACAAACTTCCATCTACACTGAAGTTTTATTTGAGATTAGTGATACTGTATGAAAAGAACCTAAGTAGATGCTCAATAAATGGCAAGTGTTGCCATAGCTATTCTTATCATTAATACCAATACTGTTAATTTTTTGATTGAAACATTAAAGTAAAACAAAGCAGAGAACACAAATTTGACTATTTTCCAGTTTTGCTTTAAAAGTGGCAATTTCTGTGTTTAAAAGAAACAGCTCAGGTTTCTTTTATTTTTTTAACCTTAATTGAAAACAGATTATTTACTCACATAGTATATGCTGATTACAGTTTCCCCTCCTCTACTCCTAGCAGTCTCTCCCCTCCAGATCCATTCCCTTTCTTCTCTCCTTAGACAAGAACAGGTTTCTAAGAGATAACATTAAAATGTAACAACATAAATAAAATAAGATAAAACAAAAGTGATCATTTTGAATTTGGCCAGGACAAACGAACAGAAATGAAAGAGTCAAAGAGCAGGCACGAAAAGCAGAGACCCCCTCATTCACACATTCAGGAATCCCATAAAACACTAAACTGGAGTCCATCACCACATATACCCAGGGGGACCAGCACAGAACCACGGAGGGCCTACCCTTTCTGTTTTAGTCTGTGCGAGTTCATATGAGCTTTGCTCGTGTTGATGTGGAGAACTTTTTTTCCTTTGTGTCATTATCCCCATGTCTCCTACACTCTTTCTGCCTCCTTTATCTGGATATGGATCTATCCGCAGTATTTTACATGCCAACATCCAGTTATTGCAGCACCATTTGCTGAATGTGCTCTCTTTTTTCCATTGTATAGTTTTAGCTTCTTTATCAAAGATCCGGTGTTCATAGGTGTGTCATTTAATATCAGGGTCTTCAATCTGATTCCTTTTGTCTACCTTTTTATTTTTGTGCCAATTCCAAGTTGTTTTCATTACTATAGCTCTATATTAGTGCTTGAAGTCAGCTATGGTTATGCCTCCTGAAATTCCTTTATTGTACAAGGCTGTTTTGGCTGCCCTGTGTCTTTTGTTTTTCCATATAAAGTTGAGAGTTGTCCTTTCAAGGTCTGTGAAGAATAGTGCTGGAATTTTGATAGGGATTGCATTGAATCTATAGATTGTTTTTGATAAGATTGCCATTTTTACTATATTGATCCTACATATCCAAGAACATGGGAGATCTTTCCATTTCTGGTATCTTCTTTAATTTCTTTCTTTAAAGACTCAAAGTTCTTATTATTCAGGTCTTTACCTGTTTCGTTAGCATTAACACAAGATATTTTATGTTGTTTGTGGCTATTGTAAAGGGTGATGTTTTGCTGGTTTCTTTTTCATCCCCCTTATTGTCTATATATAGTACTGATTTTTTGAGACAATCCTGTATCCTGCCACTTTGTTGAATGTGTTTATCAGCTGTAGAAGTTTCCTGGTAAATTCTCCAGGTTATTTACGGAGACTATCACATCTGCAAATAGTGAAAGTTAGACTTCTTCTTTTCCAATTTGTATCCCCTTGATCTCCTTTTGTTATCTTATAGCTCTAGCAAGAACTTCAAGTACAATATTGAAGAGATATGGAGACCAGTCTTGTTCCTGGTCTTAGAGGTACTGCCTTAAGTTTCTCTCCATTTATCTTGATGTTATCTGTCGGTTTGCTGTATATTGCCTTTTTTATATTTATCCCTGATCTCTCCAAGACCATTATCATGAATGGACATTGTATTTTGTCAAAGGCTTTTTCAGGATCTAATGAGATGATCATGTGGTTTTTCTTTTTAAGATTGTTTATATGGTGTATACTTTCATGAATTTGTGTACGTTGAACCATTCCTGCATACTTGGGATGAAGCCTACTTGATCATGGTGTATGATATATGTGTTCTTGGATTCGATTTGCCAGTATTTTGTTGAGTATTTTTGCATTAATATTCATGAAGGAGATTGGTCTGTAGTTCCCTATCCTAGTTGTGTCTTTGTGTGGTTTGGGTACTAAGGTAATTGACACTCTAAAAGCAGTTCTAACAGGAAATTTTATAGCACTAAGTGTCTACATGAAGAAACTGGAGAATAGACACACTAGAGAATTAACAGAACACCTGAAAGCTCTAAAACAAAAAGAATCAAAGTCACACAGGAAGAATAAATGCCAGGAAATAATCAAATTGAGAGCTGAAATCAATAAAGTAGAAACACAGAAAACAATACAAAGAATCAATGAAATAAAGAGTTGGTTCTTTGAGAAAATCAACAAGATAGACAAACCTTTATCCAACCTAACCAAAAGGCAGAAAGAGAACATGAAAATCAACAAAATCAGAAATGAAAAGGGAGACATAACAACAGACACTGGGGAAATCCAGAGAATCATCAGGTCATACTTGGAAAACTTGTCTTCCACAAAATTGGAAAACATAAAGAAAATGTGCAATTTTCTGGATAGATATCACCAACATTAAAACAAGATCAGATAAACAACTTAAATAGACCCATAACCCCTAACTAACAAAATAGAAGCAGTCATCAAAAGTCTTCCAACCAAAAAAAGTCCAGGGCCAAATCATTTCAGTGCAGAATTCTACTGGAAATTCAAAGAAGAGCTAATACCAATACACTTTAAATTATTCCACACAATAGAAGGAGAAGGATCCCAGCCAAACTCTTTTTACAAGGTTACAATTACCTTGAATACATATTGTGTTTCAATATGTATGTTATCAGGCTTTATCAGTTGGCACTGAATAACCAGTTCATATGCTTTTCCCTGGGGAAGGTCATGGCCCCTGTTCCTAGCTTTCTTCAGTTGACTGTAGTTCATTGTGTAGAGTTAAGTCCTCATGGGCTCTTCCGCACCCGGTTTGGCATGTTTTCTGCTGTTCCCATTGTTCACTTCATGTTTGGGCAGTTGTGTTGGTGTATCTTTTGTTGTTAAGGTGGCACAGCCTCACAGCTAACTCCCTGATCCTTTGGTTCTTACAGTCTTCTCATCTCTTCTTCATCAATGATGCTTAGGTGTAGGAGTTGTTGTGTACATTGGGAATGGACTCCACAACTGTGCATATTGATTGGCTGTAGTTTTAGGTAATGGTTTCAGTCTGAGGTAAAGACAAGTTTCCTTGAAAAGGAATGAAGACTGCATTTATCTGTGGGTGTAAGCATGTCCTATTTATTTTATGAGCAAATATAATGGCTCCATGTTTGAGGATTACAAAATTCAAAATTCCTCTCACCTAGTGTTGAAACAAAGAGACACATTTAGCATATACTAAATTACTTCCTTAACACATATCATGCTGCAAGCTACTTTTCTTTTGAAATAAAAGATGAAAAAAAGATCCAGCGTTCCTGTCGACCATCTCAGAACCCTATCCACTTCTACCCCATTCGTGGTCCTTAACAGGGGGTCTTCATCAAATTTCTCCTTCAGGGCTCAGGGGGCTATAAGGAAGAAAAAGTGGAAAGATTGTAAGAACCAGGGGAGATGGAAGACACCAACGAAACAGTGTCTTCCACACACAACAGAACAACTCACAAATGAACACCAGAGACTCTGGCAGCATGCAAAGACCTGTATAGGTCCAAGCCAGATGAGGTCCCAGTGCTGAAAGGAGGAAGTGAACATGATCTCCTAACCCTAACCAAGAAACTATTTCCAATTAACCACACCAAAAGGAAAACTATTCATTTTCTCCATTTGTGTTTCACTGGGTGTACAAATCATACTTAAGGGTATGCACTGTGCCCAGCAGTAGTTGACCAACACAAAACAAGCTCAATGGCATTTTTGGAAGATATTTTTGGCTTCCTATTTCTTTGTTTAAACATTCGTTAGCCTTACTGGTCCTTTGCTTGCATATCAAAGTTTTCAATTTTGTGTTTAAAAAAAAAGAAAACTCCTGCAATCATTTAATCTAACCGATATGTTCTCTAACATTTAAAATATATCTACTTTGGTTAGCTTGCAAAGATATGGATTTTAGTATGGGCGTTTTTAAACACAACTTGTTTTATTATATTTACTCTCTCCCCATCCTCTCCATCTCTGCTGTCTCCTCCCATCCCAAGTAGCCTCATCCCAACATTCATGTCACATGTGCCTTTTGCTTTCCACCTCTCCCTCTTTCTCAGAATCTCTTGTTTCCCTCTCACGGTCTCCTACTTGACTTCAGAATCTGCACCTATTCTCACAACCCTTTATTTACATACACACAAACACTAAAGGTTAAGATCCCATAGGAAAAAGAGTAAGTTGTTTTCATTTTCCTGAGACTGTCTCACCTATATAATACAATATGTTCTCGCTCCATCCATTATTTTCCTGTAGATTTTATAATTTTATTTCTCTTGACATCTAAATGACATTCCATTTTGTGTATATGCCGTGTTTTGTCTTTACCCACTGCTAGACATCTGGGCTGGCTGTATTTGCTTGCTGTTGGGACAAACGCAGCAGCGAACATGGATATGTAAGTATCTGCGGGAGAATATAGCATCCTTTGAGTACATATCCCAAAGTAAAAGGGCAGGGCCATACAATAGCTCTATATTCAAATGTTTGAGGAACCTCCATGCCTGTTCCCAGAGTAGTTACAGTAGCTTACACTTCCACTAGCCTCAGATAGGTTTTCCTCCACCATCTTGACAGAATTTCTTGTGGTTTGTTTTCGTTATCATAGCCATTCTGCCTGGGACATATTGAAATCTCAAAGATTTTGTAAATTACAATTCCCTGATGGCTAAGGATTTTTTTTAATTTGTTGGCCTTTTTTCAGCTCATGTGTGCTACTTTTCTCACATTCAATACAATCTGGTAGGAAATGAAAAGAAAGAAAATAGGAATATAACACAGCTCCTTCAGATTTCTTAAGTACATTTAGCTCAGTAGAAAAAATATTAGTCTAAAAAGAATAAATTCTAGGGCTTTCCTCTGCCACGTGTTTCTGAAAGGCCTTAATCACAGTGGGGAAAAGAGTGGACCTGATTGAAACGGGAACTTATATCTGTGACCACGAGAATGGGATTCTCCATCACTGTCCCTGAACCTCCCATCTGGTCTCATTAAGTGTGGATGTAGAGCCTTTCTATGGATGAGAATACCAATATATCTATCATGCCGTACTCTTCATATACAAACAACACATAAGAAGCAGTTTATGCAGAATCATTTTTGCTTTCTAAAACTCCAAACTGCCATGACATATTGCTACATAATATGTCCTAACTTTATGTCCAAGAAGAACTCTATTTCAGTCCCTACACTGAGGATTAAATGTGATAATGAAGCGAGCACATTCTGGCATGTGACTAGGACACGGCAGCCCCTCATAGTAAATTTACATCTAAGACAATACAATGACCAATTCCACTGTCTTGAAATGATTGTCCTTAAGAGTGCTTGTTTAAAAATGTGGGGGTTGGAATTAAGAACACTTTCTCCTCTTGCAGAGGACTTAGTTTCAGTTTCTCAGCACCCACATGGTGACAGAGATTAATGCCCCCCAGTTCCAGGGTTTCCATTGCCCTCTCTGGCCTCCTTAGGCACCAAGTAGGCATGTGGTACTCATACAAACATGCAGGTGAAACACTCATACATAAAAATAAATACATATAAAATATTTTAAATAAATTTTTGGTAACTTGTAAGAGAAGTACCCACTTCTTTATTTAAATCAATGCCACCTACTTCCAAATTTATTGTCTATTTTGGGGGATAGGGTTTTTTTTCTCCTTGCAATTGGGGATTTGGTGTTCCACAATAGAGACACTGTAGAATTTTGAGTGGGAAATTGATGCTATCAAAAGCTATTCTTGCTTGGAGCAGGTTGAGGAACAGATGTATCATCAGATACAGAATAGCAGTTAACTGATGCCCTTCATTAAACCTTCATTCTTCCCAGCAAAAGCAGAAGAAACCAGAGTTATGAACAGCTGAACTCTGTCCAAACTTCAGTTGTATTTTTAAATTTTGGTTTAGAATGCATAATACATTAATGCCATACAACCTTTATTGTGTTCACTTTAAAATGTATATTAAGTAGATTACTACATTAAGGTAATGTATTAAATTGCCTAAGGCAAAGTAATATGATGATTAACTGACTATAAACATTGGTTTATGGTCAGTTTATAAAGTATCACAATGATTAACATTATGCATTTTCATAACAGTAGAAAATTGCAGGATGAAATATCTGTGGATTGACTCAGTGCCATTAGGAATAATAAAACAGAGATATAACTCAGTCTCAAGTTACATCTGAGAATAAACTTTGTTTTAAATCTCTTCTCTAAGTGATTGGAAAATTCATTAATTTAAAATGGCCAAGGCTTGCCATACACAAGAGAGTGAAAGTATTCACACAAACATATTAAGCAAAAGCTGGTTTAACATTTTTCAAATGTTTCCCTCTAAAGTTTTTGCCGAAGAACATTGGGAGGCATTGAGTTTATTTATTGTTCTCTCTCATTGATAGCAAATCCATATATTCATTGTTTTGATTGTAGACACTGAGACTTTCCATCATAATATCATTATAGTCTTGAGAATGCACATAGAAGAGCTCAAAAGCCTGTCCTGAAATCAAACTTCTGTTTAGTGATTTCTAATCACTCTCTGAAATTCCCAAAATTAGCACACCAGATTGTAGTTGCTTTTAGCTTCTATGCATTTATCCCTCAATTATGAGTAATCATCACATGAGGTTTCATGTCTTCTCTAATTCAAGTTTATAACATAGTCACTTGTTTTTTATTAGAGTCTCACAAAGATGGGTTCTATGACTGTGTTAATGAAGGACTGGAGAAAGGAGAAGGAATATTTTCAAATCAATGAATTTTATTGCTGATCTATATTTACTTAATGCTCTAATTTTTATTCGTATTCTTAAATTCGTTCAACAGTCCATTGGAAAACCCATTCATTGATTTCTATAACCCAAAAAATGAGTAGCAAATATTAAAGGGATAGTTCAATTGGTATTTTTTTCTTGTTACATTCCTCAGAATGTAAAACATAAGTATAAGCTGAGTATACTACACTACAAAACATGGCTTCTATACTGTAACACTCTAGTTTGTTAACACTAAACTTATTGGTTACTGCTGCTTGGAATATACCTGCCTTGAACCTAAAAGGATTGTGTGACAAGTACAACGGCTTCTCAAAGACACAAAACCATTTTATATCCAAAGAAAAATTAATCTTATTCCTCAATAATAATAAATATGTAGGTAAACTTTTATCCTAAAATGAAAAACATCCATACCTCTGTAACAGTAAATAAATTCAAATTGCCCCCAAAACTTTATATTTTCATACTTAAAATTTTTGAGGCTTAATCAATATTGATGGCAGCATATAAGTCAATTTATACAGCACAAATCTGTCAAAGTGTGATGTGTGAGTTCTGTTCATTAATTTGCAGTGAGGTATGTACACAGTTCATAACAGCAGCACACATACTTTTAATAGCAGCATGTGCTGTTTTGGGGGATCTGTTCTCCCTGCCTGTTATATTTGCTCTGGTTACATATATGGAAGCATAATTTTATGTCTTTTCACTCTGAAAATGAAATCATGACATTCACAAGAAATGAAATTACACTAACAATGTAAGTCATACTCAGAAAGACAAATACTAAGTTTTCTCTTACAAACAAAATACACACTTTTCAGGAGTTTTTTGTCTGTATATGTGTGCATTGCTTACGTACCTTATGAAGCTAGAGATGGGGAAATAACAGAGGGCAACAGAAAGCATGGGACATAAAAGAAAAAGAGGGGACTCTATGCTGAGGACTAGGACTAGCAAAAGGTAGGATAGAGTAGACCAGGAGAAAACAAGAACAAAGTGTAATGTCAGGTATGTATAATATGGAGATGCCATAATGAAACCCATTGTTTCCTATGTTAACTTTAAATCAATTAGTAATTCTCTGGCAAAATTTTGAAAAACACCAGTCTTCAATTCCAGATTATTTGAAAAGCACAGGCATGGAGAATGCTTCTCTTTCCCTGGATACATATTTCCTTTTTTTAACAAAGGACTATTTTAAGCTTGTTAAATAGTTTGCAAACACCACCCCCACCCCAGTTTTCCAAGATGTTGCATTCCATTTGTTTCTGTGTGGTCTGGACAGATACTTTTTTTCCTTTTCATTTCTTCCTTCCTTCCTTCCTTCAGTGTGTGTGTGTGTGTGTGTGTGTGTGTGTGTGCGCGTGTGTGTGTGTATACAGTGAATGTGTGTTTGGGGTGTGTGTGTTAGTGTGTTAGCGGTGAATATGTGTTTGATGTGTGTGTGTTTGTTAGTGTGTAGGCAGTGAAAGGGTGTTTATTGTGTGTGTGTTTGCATATGTGCGTGCGTGCGTGCATGTATGCGTGTGTGCGTGCGTGTGTGTGTGTGTGTCTGTGCGCGTGTGCACCTGGGTCTCTCACTGAATCTTGACCTAGACAAGCTGCTATCATGTTGCAGTCATTCTCCTGTATCTTCCTCCAGCCCCACGACTGGAGTTACAGGCACAGGCAGCCATGCTTAGCTTTGTGTGGGTGCTGTGGATCTGAAATCAGATTCTCATGTCTGCACAGCAGCCATTCCTACCCACTGAGTCATTTCCTATCCCTACCCACTTCTTCAACAAACCACATAATAGCAACAGGATTTACTAGCAATAATTACAAAGTCCTTCAATTTCATGCCTTTAAGTATTTTCTCACATAACATTTTAAGCCTTTATAATTATATTACTACTTATAGAACAAACACTGGAAGGCCAGCAATAAGTCTAGGGCAAAGGTGATCACTACCCAGCCTGACAACCTGAGAGACAGAGTCACATATCAATTATGTGCTCCCCCAAATTCATGTGTTTGAATAATTTGTCCCCAGATGGCAGCACTGTTTGGGAGATTGTAGAACCTTAAGAAAGTCAGGTGTAGCATAAGGAGGCCAGCAAGTTTTCTTTTCGACCCTACAAGAAGCAAGGCAAAGTGGGCATGTCTGGTATAAAGACCAATACTAAAGTTCCACAACAAAGAAAGTCAGATTAGCTAAGCTATTTCTGTTTTATGTATGGTATGGTACTATACTTTGGAGAAATGCTACAGATTTTCTTTGCTGGGAAGATTGCTTAGATAAGCGTGAATTAACAATATACAAAATTGAGGTTGCCTACAGAAGCCAAGTCACTTGATTTAGAATCAGAAGGGTCTGCATTGAACTTTTCCCATCACCTACATGCATTAGTTACCTTTCTTACCACTGTGGCCAAATACCTGGCAAGAAGCAACGTGGTTTATTTGACTCAGGATGTATGGTCTGTGATAGCAGACAACACATGGCAGAAGGTGCTATCATCCAGGCACTGAGAGCTTGTGGCATGGTTTCTCACATCTCAGTAGATCAGGAGACAGAAAGTGAGTGTAAGAAATGACAAAGGAGAGTGAGGCTGTGTTCTTATCACTCAGCCAGTGGTCAGATTTCTTCTTGAGCAGCCCACATTGCATCCAGATCGGACAACCTATCACCGGTGTGTACTCATAGATTAGATATGATTAGCCTTCAAGCTAGGGATTTAGCATAGGAGTAGAGTGGTTCCTTCCAATGAATGGGGCGGGAAATGAAATTAAATGAATAATCTTAGATGATTTGCTATTTTACACGAAAGAAAATCTGATGGCACCTTGTGATGCTTTGGGTGAGAATTGCTCCCATTGGCCATATGTTTGAATACTTGGTGCCCAGTTGGTGGAAGTATTGGAGAAATATTGGTCAGGGTGACCATATTAATGGTGATGTGCCACTTGGGGGGTGACTTTTGAGGTTTCAAAAGCCAACACGATTCCAAATAAGCTCTCTCTGTCTCATACTTATGGATCTAGCAGAAGTATCTCAACTACTGGTCCAGTGCTATGCCTGCCTGTCTGCTGCAATGCTCCTTGACAACGGTAGTCATGAACTTTAACCCTCTGAACCTGGGAGACCCCAAAAAACTCTCTTGCATAAGTTGCCTCTCTGTAGTGGTTTCATTGAGAAATGTCACCCAGAGGCGCATGTATTTGAACGCTTGGTTCCTGTTGGTGATCCCATTTGGGGATGCTGGGAAACTCCATCGTTGCTGGAGGAAGTGCCTCAGGAGCAGACTTTGAGAGTTTGTAGACTTGCAGGCTGGCTTACCAGTTCATTCTCTCTGCGTTAGTTTGCAGATGAAGACGTGGTCTTTCAGTGCTCTGCCTCCCCTGCCATCATGGACTTTCCTTCTGGAACTGTAACCCCAAACAAACTTTCTTCCTTTCTTAAGCTGCTTTTTGTCATGCTATTTTATTACAGCAGCAGAAAAAAATCACTGGTCTAAATTGTCAAAGACATGCTTAATTTACAATACCGTTTCTTTCCTCTTTGCTGTATACCTTTGCCTCCATAAGACACCAAACTTTTTTATCCAACAATATGTAAGCAGATCACCAGAAACTTAATCCATGTTATATTGTGATAAGGCAGATTGGCCTTTGGAAATGTAGATATGTTCTTCAAAATAATATTCATATGAAACAGGTTTTTACTTACTTTGATCACAGGGTTAGAAGTGATAAAAGAAGAAATCTTATCCACTGTCAAAGCTGAGTGTAGAAACAAGACTCAAGCAATCCTGTCAGCCCAAGTGCAGAACATTAAGTCTCTAGAAATACCTTGCAAATACACCTGAAATAGCAGAAAATGGACATCTTGAGCCTAGCATAAATATATTTCTACTTTCAATTTCTAAGTGCAATTACTAGTATATGAAAAGACGTTTCACAGGGATTAATGATCAACTAGAGATAATGATTCTTCCCCTCATTTTATGCCATCAGCTCCCCTCGAAGACGATACCTAATAGTCTATCATGATAGAGCTGATGGGATATGGATACATTCAAAAGAAACTATGTCATTTGATACCAGTAAATTATTGGAGACAGAGAAGCACAATGCTCTTCAGTAGGACCATGTTGATTGGCTTTCCTCCCAACTCTACAAAACAATAATAGAAAAAAAGGCTGATGAAAACAAAAACTTGTTCTGTGAATTTAAAAAGTCACACTTCTCTGTCATTGGGGACAGGGTGCTGTTCTTTGAGTGTGGAATGGGAATACAGGAATTTCATTCACCCATTCATTCAGCACTGTGTTTGGAGGCAAAATAAAGAGCAGGCCTGTGTCTATGTGCTGGTAATGCAACTCTGACTAACACAAGTCACTATCTTTAATGATCTTTAATTGGATCTTAGTCCACAAAGAGAGGTACTTGTACGAATCATTCCTAGTACACTTCAAAACCTTTCTATTACTATTTATACCCCAGTCTATGAAGTCGGCAGAGGAGGGACTTAGAAATAGTTAAGTCCTCAGGCTAATGTGAGTGTCTCAGACAGAAGTGATAAAATGTTGCTTGTATATGATCAAAGAAATACTAGCACACTGAAAGCACCACAAGGGGACCAGCTGGTCCAACAAATTAGGGCTTGTGTGTTGAGATCTGAGGAAAAGAGTATCAATGTCCCAGCCACAGCAGTAATATTCATGTTTATGTAGAGAAATGGAATGATTTGGGGTTCAGTTGTGGGACTGACTTGATCTGATTTTAGAGGGTTGATTTTACCAAACAGGTAAAATGAGTCAGTCTTCTGGGACATCAGCTCCAGGCTTTAGAAAAAGGATGGGTGACAAGGAAGGCAGAGAGACTCCGACAGCAAAGAATAACTAGGAAATAAGATGAGAAGCTGTGAAGACAATGCCATCCACAACAAAGAAGAAGATATACAACAGTGATTAGTGAGGGGAAGACATTCACAGTCTTGACTGCTAAGTTTTAGGATGGGACACCTAACTAAAGTATTGACTTAATTTCATAGATACAATGCTTCCTCTGGTGAAATGAATTTGGGGCAGTAACAAAGTTGCATTGTCACCGAGGTAGTTAGTGTGATATAGTGAGAGGAGAAAGTCAGGAAGGAGATGAGCTTCAGACACAGCTAAGTGTAGTCGGATGTTTCTCTCCTGCTCTCCATTTCCCATATCACCACTCAGAGGCTTAATATTACTTATAAATGCCCTGCCGAGAACTTGGGCTTCTTACTAGCTAACTTTTACACTTTAAGATAACCCACATCCCTTATTTACACTCTGCTACTTGGCAGTACCTTGGTTAGCATGGCACATTCGTCTCCTGCTCCCTGTGCTTCTGCCAACAGCTCCTCTGACTCTGCCCTTCCTTGTCCTATCGTTCTCAGTTTGGCTCTCTTGCCTAACTGAGCCCTGTTCAACTATTGGCCCGTCAGCTTGTTTATCAAACCAATCACAACAATGTATATTCACACAGTGCAAAGAAATATTCACAGCAGCTAAGCTGTGATGGGAAGCACATGGAGAAAGGTACAAAGCAGTGAGTCTGAGGCAGGAAGTCATTACAATGAGTGAACTCTAAGTGGAATTTGGTAACGTTTGTTCCTGACAGCCATCCCCCTTCTTCCTGTGGAGATACCACTCTAACTTTGATTTGGGTAAACTCGTCATTTCACATTCATTTGTATAGGTTAGACTTTACCTTCAGGCTCCAGAAGTTAAAGCTAGTCAGCCATTCTTTTCTTGTGATTCTTGGCTCAGTGGTAGAATAAGATGGCATCAGTCACTGTCAGCAGAATTCAGCTGTGAAGTTGTGAGGTATTAGAATAAGAATATGTAGGACTTAGAGCCTGTAAGCAACGATAGAGATTTTTCTCTATATAATTTAAGCAATTAATCCAAAGTTATCCCTGGGGTTCTGCAGATAGCCCCAGTACCTTAGCCAGAGGTAGTTGCAGCACAAAAACACGTATTTCTCCCCAACTTCCTACCATGGTCACTGTCCCAAATAATTCCATATGTTCTAGTATTTCTATTCTACACTGGAAACTGCTGCCATGATGCCTTGTTATTTTACATACTTTCTTTGGACTATACAGCAGAAACATAAACTCAAAGGGGAACTAAATCTCAGAGAAATTGAAACAAATAGCCTGGAAATTAATTCCAATCTCATTGCTCGAGTATACTAACTGGGAAAAATCCAATACAAAATAGTATTTTAATTGCATAAAACTAATTTAAAGAAATATAATTCTGCCAAAAACATAAACAGACCATAAGGAAATGTGTTAAGATGTCAATTTAGGCTGTTTTGAATGGTAAGAATTTTCTTCTCCCTTGTAAGTATGCTATTTCTGCATATCAGGCTAACATGAATGGATTTCAGCAATTACTTTTCTTCCTGTGTATACTAGCATTCTGATACTATCCTTAGAGATTAGAGAGTTCCATAAATGATAGTGTTATCACTACTAATTTTATTTTCTCTTTTAAAAGTTAGATATGTGAATCTGAGGTCACAGACCTTTCAAGAAAATGATACTTTTTCAAAAATTAAAATACATCATAGTAAGGATACAAAAGATGAATTTAAAATAAATAAATAAATGAAAGTAAAAAAGATGAATTTTACATTTCATACAAGTAGGGGTGCAAGATTTGGAAATTTAACAACAGCAGCTTTAAAAATGTTTTAAATAAGGAATTTGTATAAATTTGCTGAAGTTTACGGAATATTTTACACAATTAATTGCCCAGGTGATCTTTACAAAAGAGGAACCAGGTGAAGAATTTGTACCTGTGGAGGCATTAAGACATCATGAAACAGTGTGGGCAGGTCAGTTGTTACCCTTCTTAGAAGGAGATCTCTCCTAATCTGAAAATCAGAAACATCTGCTTTTTGAAAAGTTTAACATGAACTATTTCTAGCATGCAACAAGAGACTTCTTACAAAGTCAATTACATTCGGTAAACACACACAAAAAAATAAGAATTAATCTCCTAGAAAGGTACACTAAGGTGATATCCATGCTCCTAACAGATCCGCTGAAGCTAGAGCTGGGAATTATTATTTTTTTAGATTTTTTAATTTAAATTAGAAACAAGCTTGCTTCATATGTCAATCCCAGCTCCTTCTCCCTCCCTTCCTCCACCGGCCCCCCACCAATCCCTTCAGTACCCCACCCAATCCCCACTCCATTCCCAGGGAGGGTGAGGTCCTCCATGGGGCATCTCCAGAGTCTGTCATTTTGTTCAGGGCAGGGCCTAGGCCCACCACCCAAGAGTCCAGGCTGAGAGAGAATCTCTCATTGTGGGATGAGCACCCAGAGTCCATTTGTATGCCAGGGATAAATACTGATTTACTACCCAAGGTCCCATAAATTGCCTAGGCCTCCTCACTGACACCCATATTCAGGGGGTCTGGATCAGTCCCATGCTGGATTTGCAGCCATCAATCTGGGATTCAAGAGCTCCCCCTTGTTCAGGTCAGCTGTTTCTGTAGGTTTCACCAGCCCAGTCTTTACCCTTTGGCTCATCACTCCTCCCTCTCTGCAACTGGGTTCCAGGAGTTCAGTTCAGTGTTTAGCTGTAGGTGTCTGCCTCTGCTTCCATCAGTCATTGGTTGAAGGCATAGAATTCCACAGATCATTGTTTACAAATTAATGTTGAAGTATCCCCCCCTCAGAGGTATCATATGCCTTTTCTTCTGAGACCACATGAAAATATAAATTCAGTGTCTGCTACTATTGAAAATTCAAGTCCAAGTAAGATTTAAGATGACTTCCAGATACTTAAATTCTTCGAAATAATTTAATACCTTTGGCAGAAATCCTAATGCTAAATTTCTCATTGCAGGAGTTCTTTAATATCCTTGGCCAGGGCTAATATTCAAATCATACTCCATAGAAATATCATTTTAACCTGTCAAGGAGCCTAGACTTATTTCCAAGATAGAACAAGGATTAATTTTGTCACAGATATAAAATTTCCTACATATACCAAGACTCTGTGGAAAGCATATGAGACCTACTATGTAGCTGTTGAATCAGAAATCTCTAGCAGAAAGGGTCCACACCAAGAACTTTTGAATCTACTCCAATACCCACAACCTGGGAGCAAATTTCCATCCAGTGTCTCAGCTGTTCTCTTCTTTATGCCTGTTTGAATGAGGCACTTGTTTGGTCAAGACAAAAGAAGTTGGGATTTTGAGAGAATAACAACTATTAATTAATAGCATGATTTGGTAGCAGGGTTGAGAGAGGTCAATACCTCTTACACTGTGGATTAGCTTACATGAAAGATATGCCTGCTTTGCTTTATAAAAAACCTCACAGTTGAGGAGACGGGAAGGGCAGCCTGAGAACGTGGCTGAGATGGCTTATTTTCAGCACTCCTATCTCCTTAAACTCTCAGGCTGCTTTTGGTCACATTAAAATCTCGAAGCTCGCCCTGTGAGAGGCGGAGAGAGGATGGGAGTGAATTTCCTCCACTGTTTCTGTTATCCTAAGCATCCCTCTGGAGTTTGACCCCCATCTGAGCTCAGGGCATAGCTCACACGGCTTGTCGAATCAGATAGACACGGCTTGTCTCTCAGGAATGCTCCCACTCTGCTCTCTGGTAGCACCTAGACTGTGAAGCGGCTTCATTCGCACAGCTGTTACGATGAATCAGACAGAGGGCTGCCAGCTGGACCTCCCAGTCACCCTCCATCCTAGCGCCATACGACCTCTAGGAAACAGTGTAAGAAACAGGAGCTTGCAAAGGTTTGCATGCTGTATAATTACCCAGGTTGCATCCACTGCTAATATTGAAGAATTTTGACACTGTCCCTCATATTCAAATATTTGAGTGTAGTATTAGGAACCAAATTTTCAATATATTTACTATGATTTTAGGGCATAACTGTGGGGCAGAGTGTGCCACTAGGTATCTAACCCATAAAAATTACCCCAAATTTGTTTACTTCTCATGAAAGGACAGAAGTAACACAAGGGATTTTCTATGCCTTTTACTTGTCAAACATGCTTTACAATGTCTATGTTCTTTTATGCTAAATCCAAGAAGTGCCCATCAATATGCTACAAGGCCCTGTTGTAGGGCTCCTGGTTATTAAGCCCTAAGTTTTGATCCTGCAGTGGAACCCACCTACTTGTCTGCAGCTGATGCTGCCCTCTGGCTGCCAGTGGGAGCAAAATTCTCCCAGAGACAAATCTACTGCCCTTCCTCAAGACACACCTTCCCACAGGGGCCTGAATCTTTGTTGATCTTCTCTGAGAAACCCACATGCTGGATGGTGAAGTCCGTGGTGTCATCATGTCTCAGCATCAGAACACTTCTGAAGGGCCTCACCTCACTCCTCTCTGTCTCAAGCACCATCATTCCGGTGAAAGAGGAGTTTTCAAAGAATCACATTCCGTAAGAATGAAAATAAACAAACTTCATAGAAAATCACAATGAGACGGATTCTTTCCCCAGCGTCTCTGGCTTTCGCATGCCTTTGCATAATGAAAGGGCTAATATAACATAACAAATCCTAAACTGTTTTCACAAGGAGTAGAAAAAAGATGTGTAAAAGTATGCTCTGTCTTGCTTCCTTCTGTTCACAATGTATCTAAATAAAACAAATGGTGTTCTTGCTCTTTCTGTCTGTTTCCCAATCTGTTTGGATAGTAGCCACCATTCCAGAGCCAATGATAATATCTGACACTTCCTGACACCATGAAGGCCGCCATCTGCCCATCACCGAAGCCCTGTACTTTGTAAAGACTACTTGGCTTGGTCCTTAATGAAGCTTCAAGTTGAATGCACAGATTGCCTTAGAAGGAATACGGTGAATAATTGACATGAGGAATCTGTATAGAATCACGTTTTCATTAGATCCCATCTGAAAACATAAAATGAAATATTAAGGCCCCTTCCCAGGCAGAAAAGGCTTGGTTTAGTTTCAATTGTGTCTCGTTTCCAGTTTGCCTGTGAAGTTTAGGCAGTGTTAAACATGACGAATAAACCTGAACTAAAACCTAAGCTTTGAATTCAATATTTTCAGTCTCATAAAGTTAAACAGTTAGACACGAATTTGTCGTGTGTATATTTGAGCTATGGAAAAAGAAGAAAACCTATCCACTATTTTCTCAAGGCTTGAGAAAATCATGCCATTTAGAACTGAATCAACTTCTTCAACACCTGAGTGATTATCCAGGAAACAAAAGGAGGCTCTGTATGTCTTCACTTGTAAATGTCATAGGTGAATACAAACACAGGAGGGCTGGCAGTGTCCGGTCGCCTTTTGTTCTATTAATCCATTGTAGCTCTGGGTGTGCAATAAGAGAATTAGTTAACAGGCAGAGTGAGGGAAAGAATTTCCTCAGTGCTGTTGAGTTCCTTCAGAAAAAGTAATTTTCTGGGCAAAAGAGAAGATAATAAGGTCCAAGTATGGATGTCATTACTACACTTCCTTCTTGTATTTGTAAACAGTGGTTTCATACTAATGGCACTTTTCTTACCTAATATTATCAGTTTCTTTACTAGTCTCCTGAATTTAAGTTTTATGAAGTCATGTAATTTCTTGTACTCATCAAATTAGAGTATATGTGTGTATGGGTATATATAAAATTATATACATAATGTATATACAGAACAGAAGGAGAAAAGGAGAGGCAGAAGAGGATACTCTTACAGAGATTAAATACACTTGTATATTTGGATCTGTATTTTACATGTATACATACATGTGTGAGTATACCTAAGGAATTCAAAGTTTGAACCTTAAATTTAAAAAGCTGACTATGGAGTTATATATGAGCCCTTGTGAGAGTTGGAGTTGAATTTCGCAAATATCTT